GCATGCATGCATGTCTGGCACTAATGGTATATCTCGCATGAATGATATTTTGTGTCATACATTAGCACAGCTTCACTATAGAGTGCAATGATGTTAGACAGTAACTGTCCAGTCTTTGCGTTGCGCTCCTTCTTTTACAATCTATTTCATTCAAACCAGAACCAGAAAACAAAATCAGTCCATTAAGAAGCAGCCATGCCTTTCTTCTTTAACATTAAAAATGATGCCAGGATACAGTGGAACCCAAGCTAATGACTAAAATTGTGTTTGTGAACAAACACTCACACACACAAGACAGATGGTGTATGTTTGTGAAAGTGTAAGTGTGTGGCATATAGACCTAATTACAGCCACTCTTATGCAAGGAGAAAGCATTACCCTGCTTGCACTCACAGACAAAATTCTCTTCTCTTTGTCTAAATATAGCTGGGATTGTTCTCAAAGGGAAAAAAGGAGGAGAGAGGACATGCTGTATGAGAAGGGTATGAGTTGGAGGAAAGAACAAAGTACACTTTGTAAATGTTTCAGTAATAACGTGTGCGTATTAATGCGTGTGTGACTTGTAATGGCAAAATGCACAGTTCCTCTAATCAGCTTATGAATTAGCGTTTGATCTAATAAACGTTCAGGTGTGTGTTGATGTTTTAGTGTGAGAGAGAAAGAGTGAATGGAAAAGACAAAGAAGAAGAGGTCTAAGTAGAGCGATCTTCATCTCTACAGCTCACTCAATGAGTAGATACAGTGCCAAGTTATTTTAATTAGTCGCTCTGAGAATACTGCGGGAGACGATGGTCTTCAGGGATAGTCTTCAACAGTAAGCATTCAATCCATCATCTGCCAGTGAAGGAAATGGATAATCCCATGAATGAATGACTGCTTAACTTAACAGCATAATGGTCAGAGCCTAACCTTTGTGTTGACCAGCACCAATATGCTCCAGGTCAACTGTGCGTGTTAGACCAAACATGACACGACAGCACTATTCTCCAGAGTGTGATCAGCTGTGAGTCAGAGAAGATTTAACTCAATCCATGTCCCGTTTCCAGAGTACCGACAAATGGGTGCTAGTAAATTATTTGGAATTTCACATTGGGGACAGGTTTTTTTAAAATGTCCCTCTTCAACCCAACCCAAAGTTTAGGGTGAAATCTGACAATCTTCTGCAGCTCATGCCCAACGTAAAATCCTAGCTCTGATCATCACATAAGCAGAAAGTAAAGTTTTAAGTATTTGTGTTTTGAATAAGCAATTTTGATGATCTAAATACAGTATGTACTAGTTTAGGCTGATTCTCAATCAACAGCTTTAAGTCTGTCACCGTCTTCCTACTAATGCTTCTTCTAATCTTTTTTTTTTTTTTTTTTTAATTTGGATAGAGACAGTATAGACACACGGGGAAGTGGAGAGAGAGGAAGACATGCAGTAAAGGGCCGCAGGTTGGAAACTATTCCTAGTGGGAATCAGGACTTATGATACATGTAAAAAATTATAATAACTTTAATTTAAATTGTTCATTTTTTAACAGGTTACAGAAGTTTTCTTTTCTTTTTTTTTAAAAAAATCTTTAGTTTTAGCCCTTATTCATCTAGTTTCTTATCAAAGCCTTACATAAAGTAGCCTCTGGATGTGACTTCAGAGCTGCAGATTTGTGACCCCTGAACTAAGCTAGACTTCCCAGTGTCAACAAACACATCATAAGAATCCATCATATCATTTGTGACAATACTGGTATCATTTTTGCGTGATAAAGTGCAATATCATGATATTATTGGTCTAATGTTTTCTAATGTGCACAACAACGAGAAAAGCACAGCCAAAGTCACATGTCCACCTTTGATGAAGATTTAGTAACAAGAGACTTCAACATCTTCCAATGAAGCACAATGCTATGCAAAATATGCAAAAAAACAAAACAAAAACTTGTTTCACCACTTGAGGCAAAAATACACCATGGAATGAATATAAGCAGGCTGGGAAGTCATGAAAAGAGCAGATATGAGCAGCTGGTGATGTACATCCCAAAACTAAACAAACTGAGCCTAACTGGGGCACTTGCTAGTTAGACTCTGTATGACAGGAGGCGTAAACACAAATGGAAATAATTCAAACAGTGGAAAAAGAGGATTTTAAGCAACTTTTTAAGCAACTGAAAAGAAGGATGGAAAATGTCCTCCACTTTGTTTCCACTTAGAAATGCTCTGCTATGCACTTCTAAATGGTAAATGGACTGGTTCATGCAGTATATAGTGCCTCATTCATCCATTAATACAAACACTTTCTTCTATGCTTAGGTGCTTTCTATCGAAATTTTGCACGACAATGCATACAATCACATTTAAAACATATTTCAATTTTTTTTTCTGTATCATCATTATCACAAATTTCTTGTAATACTGTGATACATTTTTGCGACTTTATTGCCCACCTTTGGACTGCAAATGTTTGTCCACTTGAGCTTAAATGTAATGGGCAAACATTAACAACTTAAATACTTAAAATACTTAATACATAAAATTTTGCATAAACTGACTTAAGTTTTTAAGTAAACATTTAGCTTTGCAGCTAAAAAACACTAATGAGCCATGAAAAAAGGCGTCCTCCTATTCCACACAGTCCTCCTAAATAAAATCTCATGTGCTCAGACACATGTCCCTATTGCCAGTCTTGGCAGCCGGGGGTCAGTCCGCCAGGCCTCCGCTCCTGGCCGCCACCCGGCACACAATGCCCCGACCCCTATGGCGCCTCCTGCGGGTGGTGGGCCTGCGGGAGGATGGGCCCATGTCTCCTCTTCGGGCTGTGCCCGGCCGGGCCCCATGGACTAAGGCCCGGCCACCAGACGCTCGCCCTTGGGCACCCTCCCCGGGCCTGGCTCCAGGGCGGGGCCCCGGTAACCCTATCCCGGGCAGGGTAAACTGTTCCCTCGGTGTCCTTTTCATAAGGGTCTTATGAATCGCTCTTGTCATCGGGTGAGGGCCTCCAGCTCGCACTGGAACGGTTCGCAGCCGAGTGTGAAGCAGCGGGAATGAGGATCAGCACTTCCAAATCTGAGGCCATGGTTCTCAGCCAGAAAAGGGTGGAGTGCCCACTCCGGGTCGGGGATGAGTTCCTGCCCCAAGTGGAGGAGTTCAAGTATCTCGGGGTCTTGTTCTCGAGTGATGGGAGAAGGGAGCCGGAGATCGACAGACGGATTGGGGCTGCAGCTGCAGTAATGCGGACGCTGCACCGGTCCGTCGTGGTGAAGAGGGAGCTGAGTGTAAAAGCGAAGCTCTCAATTTACCGGTCGATCTACGTCCCTACCCTCACCTATGGCCACGAGCTGTGGGTAGTGACCGAAAGAACGAGATCGCGGACACAAGCGGCAGAAATGAGCTTCCTCCGAAGGGTGGCTGGCCTCTCCCTTAGAGATAGGGTGAGAAGTTCGGCCATCCGGGAGGGGCTCAGAGTAGAGCAGCTGCTGCTCCACATCGAAAGGAGCCAGCTGAGGTGGTTCGGGCATCTGACAAGGATGCCTCCTGTGTGAGGTGTTCCAGGCATGTCCCACCGGGAGGAGGCCCCGGGGCAGACCCAGGACACGCTGGAGAGATTATATCTCTCGGCTGGCCTGGGAACGCCTTGGTATTCCCCCGGATAAGCTGGAGGAGGTGGCTGGGGAGAGGGAGGTCTGGGCCTCTTTGCTTAGGCTGCTGCCCCCGCGACCCGGCCCCGGATAAAGCGGATGAAGATGGATGGATGGATGGATGGATGGATGGTGCTCAGACACAGTATGGGCCTAATTCACTAGCACTCTCTCTGGAAGCCCAGTCATACATATCATGCATTAGTGACCTATGTTGCAGAGCAGCTATTATAGTGATGTTGAATCCACTGGGAAAAAATGACCAAGTGTGAGGTATCAGAAAGCAAGCACTCTGCCAGAGTTAATCACAAAAAATTGGGATTGATGAATTTATATATATTACTCGCTTATTTCTCTAATAGAAAAGGAAACATATCACTGTCTGTGAAGGTTCTCAGTCATCTCGTAGTCTAAGGAGCTTGGAAAGAAAAGCGCCTGGACTTCTTCTTTAAGCTCAACTTAAAGAAGTCCAGATGCTTTTCTTTCCAAGCTCCTGAAACATATCACTGTATATTTTGCTACATGCAGAAACATACTGTACTGGCCTAACTGCTGATGACAGCATGCCTTACAGTCATGCATAAAAGACATTCACAAGTTTCAATCAGGCTTAGTAACAAGGAGCTGAAAAGATTACTATCTTTATGGGCCAAGACTACCTTTCACTAATATGTTTTTTTGTGTGTGTTTCTTTTTTTATTCTAAAAATAATCTCTCCCTTCCAAATACTAAGTTATTTCCCTTTTAGATCATCTGACTATCCAATCGAATATTAACTTAAAATAAAGAATTTTTTTTTAGTACATCCTGATATTCACAAGGGTGCAGCAAGTTTACATTGTTCAGCAATCAAGTGAAAAAATGAATGTTCAAAGTGATGTTATTGTAGTCCACCACATGTGCTGACAAAGTTTCTCAAAGGTCTAGAGGCAGTTCCATTAATGGATCTATTAAACTAGAAAACCTCAGTCACTGACTTTCCGCTGTGAATGAAGGAATAAGAGCCAGAGGCCACTACTAAAGATAAATCCCTTAATCCTTTATAGGTCTGTCCGACCTACTTTTTCCCAAGGTACTGATTTTTATCCAGAGGAGAGAAAATACATTGTCACTTTAGCCAAAGCAATATATGTTTAAAAGTATGCATTTCATTCTGTTTATTCGAACACAACCCCAGGACATTGTGTAACCGAATGTTGCATAATTGGTGAGATACCTGGAAGAGTTTCCAGAAATCGTTGTCAGCGTAAGTCTAAGAGTGCAGTTGAAACTATCTGAAGCTTAAAGGCCAACAAATAAGGAACATTCATCCAGTCACCTGATGCTACAAACATTATTTTAAAAACAAAGTTCTTTAACACATTTTTACATCTGTGCTTCTCACCTGTACTGAGCCTGGAAGTGTTCGTGGACAAAACTGTTTCGCCCTCGAGGTTGCTGTATGCTGGCTACACTGGGACTGGAAGCATGATCCAATGGACTTGCCCCCTGTAAACATGGAGAAGACAAAAAAGAACTGAAAACTGTTCTATAATGTATAATGTTAAATAACCATACATTACTTCCTTATGACATTACTACAAACGACACTGAACACCACTTTCTGAATGCTGTATCATTCACTTCGATTTTAAGAAGCATCCCATCTACAACACAGTGCATTTACTCTGTTCAAATTGAGAGTAGCTATCACTAGCACAGGAATACATAAATAAGCTTCATACAAAAGGTAAAACTCGATGCCAGGATACAAAGTGTCTCCGGTGTTACTTCATCAACACCGACAGATGCTGATGCAAAGCAGAGGGGAAAAGTAACCAAATTCAATGGCAGCTACGGGTAATACAGAAGATGCATTTTCCCTGCCTTATTATTGTTATGTATCTCTAGGAACGAGTAAAATGAGTCAAGAATCATTCACATGCATTGTAAGTGGCTACATTAAACTACAAGATGATCAAAATGATTAGATGAAGAGAGATGAAGAAAGAGTGAGACAAAAATTAAGAATCAATCCTATAATGGGTGCAGTCATAAAATATTTGAGCAGGAAATATCTATTGAAGAGAATCAAAGTTTAAATGGTTAACCACAAAACAGTCAACACAGACTAGAGTCACAGGAATATTTGAGGATGCCAAACATCCTCAGTGTCACGCTGATGTCTGCTGAATAAACTAAATAGCAGCAATACTCCCACATGCTGTGTCATACACAGCAGGAGGGCAGAAAGACTTCAAAGATAAACAAAAGTATAAAAGAATGATGCCAATGAATAAAAGATCACAGCAACAGATTTCTGCATTTCCATTGTGTGTAACTATTCTTAAAAACGTAGCTAACATTGGGTGGTAATGGCGGACTTAACACACAAAAGAAATCCCAGGTCTGCAAGTACATTTACTTCTATTCAGGAGTTATGCACGCTGGTGTCAGTTTGCTTTGAACGAGCAAGGAGAGAAATGCTGACGTGTTTTTATTGTTGCTGTGCTAACCACTGAGGAGGACCCTACAGATCCCTCCGACAGTACATCAGTAGCATTCTAAAAAGTTTGCATGACAAGGCTAATTTTCAGAAACCAAACTTTACTTGCAAAAGTACATTGTCCTTTAATTCTTAAAGAAGTTACATTCTTTCTTTACACTGTATTTCACTATAAGAACACTTACACAGATATTTTCATTCATTTCATCTAGTCTGTTTACCACTTTGTGATGTAAATGATAGTAATTGTTTTGTTTATTCAGGATCATGTTTCAAATCTTTCCTTTTGAGAAATCATTAAGTGCTACACACATGCTAATTAGACAACACAGTGCCGTAGTTTAAACCCTCAAGCGAATCAAACATTAAGCAGCAAACAAAGTCAGAGTCCACTGAGAAATGAGACTTTCTGCACCCGGTCTTGGGCCATGTGAAATAATGACAATCCAACTTTGATGAAGCTTTTCTTTTGTTCAAACAAAATCCAATCATCGCTGCTCTCACTCTGAACAATGGGCAGCTTTTGGCATCTTTGAAAACTTTTTTCAAGGATGGCTCTTTTCCTGAATATTTAATGAGGCACAAGCACAAAGCCCAGGAAGCATGTGTGGCAGTTTGTGTTTTTAAAATCCATCTCAGCCCTATTTTTAGACGTGGCCTTGTCTCTACTTTCTTGTTTGTCTATTAAGTGGATAAAAACTTCATCCTTTGACTTACTGCAATATGTAATTGCAATATCTCAGTATTTTTGAAAGGTGTCTCGCTATAAAGGAAAACCACCAAGTAACCTTTTCAATTCAAGTAAGCAGTAACAGAAAGTGATGTGTACACAGTAGACAAATGTGCCTTTACTTCTGAGTCAAGCTTTAAAACATATCAGTTCTAACGGACAGCTTAGAAGGGGAGTTGTAGAGATAGGAAAGGTGACTCAACAGAACCTGGATACCACATTTTTTCCAGGTTTGCACCTTAAACCTTACGTAATATTTAACAGCACAAAATTGAAAGTCAACTTAGATATCTTTGGGACTCTAAGTTCCACAAACAACATAGGTTTATTTCAGTTTTTCCTGAACATAAAATACTGTTAAAGAAATAATTTTTAAAAAAATATTAATACTCTATAATTCACATATGAATCATCTCTCTTGGCATATCCCAAGCTAGGCTGTGAATGACTCCCCTTTTCAGAATTTTGTCCTCTCTTTTTTTCCCCTTGCATCTCTTTTCTTGAGGACAATGGAGAACAATCCTCACACCCTTAGAGACAGACTAGATTACAAATATCGCCATGGAAACAGTGGCCTCATTCCCCTCAATGAACATGATGGAATGGGGAACTTTTTTATTAGCCACAGCGTCCCCTAAAAATAGAGAAAAAAATGCAGTGATTGTGAAAGTTTAGACTGATACCAATGGTTAAAATAGCAATTTGGCTTATAGTGTCTTACTGATATTTTGTTTTCTGTTTGTTTGCTTGGTTTGTTTAGTTAGAGCAGTTTTTCTACCTTATATGTGAAAGAAATTAATATGTGTTCATTGTGGAAAAAATAATAGCATTGACAGTATTATGATACTGCCTTTTAATGATCACAAATTAAAAATTAAAAGTTTATCAGACTTAATCCCAGATATAAGAAACACTGGAGATAATAGAAAACTTAACTAGTGTAAGAATATTTTTCACCAACACAGTGATTCCCATGGAGCTATTAGCTGAAAACACTGTATCTCAGCACGGTGTGCAGCATGTCCTCAACAAAATTTGAGGAAAGTTATGTCCTTGAGGAATTGGAAAAACATCTATCAAAGACTGGATTCATCTGACGCTTTAACTGATCATCATTCATCCATCAGAAATGGCCTCAGTTGAAGGCTAGCTATCAAGATGTCATTCTTAAGGAAGGGAAATAGGTAGAATACCAAATTACAAAAGAACTGGACTGAAAATCAGTGGCAACAGACCTTTTGGAGTGATTAATCCAAATTTGAATTTTTCTTTCAGATTATTGTCAATATATACAGAGGAGGTCAGGAGTGAGGTACAACTGGTAAGGGGTCTAGTCATCTGTAAAACACAGTGAATGCTCTGTCATGGCTATAATCTTGATAGAGAAGGCAAAAGGCAGCCGACATCCAAAGAAGAGCTTTGAATTTCCTCCAAAAGGCCTGAAGAGCTGTTTCTAAAGACTATTTAAAGAAATGACAAGAAAGCTCTAAGAGTCTAAAAGTCTAAGAGCATTAAGGCTGTGAAGAATTAAGGTGGTATTAACAATACTGGCTTTCAAGCTCGTTAGAATTGTGAAACTCTGTTTTTGTCTTATGTATTGTATTTGCATGTATGCTTGCAGCAACAGATTTCTGCATGTCCATTTCCAATTTCTTTGCAAAACATATAGACATGGGGGATAGCTGAAAGCATTTGCATAGTACTGTTCACTGGACATAGCATATCAAGGGCTTTTTCTCAGAGAAAGCACGACTCCCAAAATGATAAAATATTTCATTCTCAATTTTGGATTCATCCTTCCAAATTCTTCTGCATGTCGAATATTTATAATATTCAGGGTCACAGTGGAACAGGTGACTATTTCAGCTGTCATACGGCGAGGGACAGGGGAGACCCTGGACAAGCGAACTGTCTGTCACAGAACCCACACAGAGACAGACAACAATTCAAACTCGTTCACAGCTAATTCAGACTTAGAGATGAACTTAACATGCATATAATACATGATTTACTTCTAACAGTCAACGAAAGGCAAATTCAAAACTTTTGCAGTTCACCCATAGTGCAGGAACCATTCTGGATTCTTCATTATTCAATTTAACTAAGAATACAGAGCACACCAAGAATATAAACAGTTCATTATAAAGTTAACTTAAGTGTGCCAAACAAACATAACAGGAAAAAAATATGATCAAAACTGACTTTGATACTTAATTCTCTATGCATTACTAAATCAAACCACCGCATTTCAAAAGGCATCTCTCACCAGAATCAGGTCAACAACCTCTTAGCCAGACCCAAGATCGGTAAACAGATGCCGAGAATGAGACAAAACTGCTCATATGAACACTTAACACCTTTAAGACACATATGCACATGCATACAGAATATTCCGCAGATGCAAACAATAGGATAGACAAAGAAAAAGAACACTGAGACTCCACCGCTTCTTTATTTAGCACCAAGGGAATAATGAATACCACCACAATGTTGTTCCAGCTCTGCTATGGTCTGCCAAAAATAGATGCGGGGGCCGGCCGCAGCAATAACAAGTGAATACTAATATTCAGAGGCAGTAAGCTGTTCAATTGTCACACTGGGTATAATCCAAAAAACCCTCCTAATGCTAACAGATCTAGGCCATATTCAGCTGCCTCCTGTTGCTTGAGGGCGAAATTACCAGCGGCATCATGCTCCTGGCAATATAATTGATTTCTAAGATTTACATATCAGCCGGGTTTCAGAACTCAGCATGCTCGGGCTTATATAGCTGTACTTATTTTGTTCTCTAAATGACTATAGCGTCGAACTGTACACAAGCTACTTAAAGAAGAAAAAAAAGCAAGCAGAGCAATGAGCAGGTAGAAATAAGTTTAAAATATGTCAACCAGAGCAAGTAACTTAGCAAAAGTTGGAAGGTGGTATTAAATGGCTCTGCTGCTTCTCTTAGAGTTGGGAATAGGCATATTTTGGCCATGCCAATGAGTTTAGTCAGTTTCATTTTTACTTTTTTTCTGCACAAGCAGCCAGGTGTTATAGCCAGTCGATTAAAGCACGAAGAACTGATGTAAAGTGTACGTGCAAAAGCCTGGTGGACTCGTAGCAATGGGCTGAGAGATTAGGACACAAATAACTTTGACAATAAAAACTTTAGTTATTAGCAATGAGTGATGAAATTGAGTTTGGTGTTTCCATTAGACCAGTCCTCTAAAATGAAGAGCTTTTTTAGCTTTGGCAGCAAAAGCTATTCCCAGCATACTGAGGAAATGTTTC